GGTAGAGTGCTAGCCTTGAACAAAAGAGCTCAGGGTAGTGCCCAGGCCCTGAGTTCAAGTCCCATGATTGACAAAAAAAAGTCTCACTGCTTTTCCTGCCCAGGCTGGCTTTGAATTGTGATCCTCAGATCTCAGCCTCCTGAGAAGCTAGGATTACAGGTGTGAGTCACTTGTGCCTGCCTATGTTTAACTTTTTAATGTGCCCCAACAATAAAACCTAGGTGCAATTGCCCAACTTTGGTGAATTCTTTCATATCTTCCATGCACCAATAACTCTAAATGGGGGAGGGGCCACCCCTCCCATGCCTCCGGTACTTAATCTGTGTTGCCCAGAGATCAAAATCAGTGCACTTGGCTGCACTCTGAGAAACTCAGATTTAATGAGAGGAAGAATTCTCTTAGAAACCACTGAAGTAGTCTACCCATTCTCTTTGCCTCCATTCTACCTTTCTGCAATATGAACACTACTACTCCTTGATCCAAAACTATCAATGGCTCCCCACTGCCCAAAGAACAGAGTACAAACTCAGTGTTTTCTATGGACCTTCTAGGAATGTCCTCATAGCTGTTTTCAGGTTTCAGGAATGGGAATGATGAGAAGATACCTATTTTTCCTGGAAAGAATTCATTTACAGGACAGGTTACCTCACATTAGGACACTACTAGTGTCTGGTTTCCAAAAGGCCCCTTTTCTTCCCCAATGGACCAAGCTCTTCACAGCTACACCACAGTGCAGTCCTCTCATTGTGAATTGGTCCTATGACCAAGAGGGTCACGAGTGACTGCCAAGGCTAATCCATGAGAAACTTTGCCATTCTGCCTGGATCTTTCAATATGCTGTCTTGGGGATGCTCCACTCAGAGCCCAGCTGTCCAGCCGTGAGGCACACGGAGGGGACATGTGAAGAGGCTGGTCAACAGCCGGCAGCAAGTGGCAGTCAATGAGGCAGGAAGACAAACAATCAGGTGACGCTGCCCATCTTCTTAGACTCCTTTTTCTCCTCTTTCCCCCTCCTCCCACCCTTCTCTACTTTCCCCTTCAGGTGACACTCACTGCCCAGCCTCCATCCCACTGCAGCAACGGAGACTCCAAGCAAGAACCAGCTGAGCCTGCTTTTGTATCCATACTGTGAAAAGCCCAACAGCTCTCAACACATGAAGACTTTTCGGGTGCAATCAATGAACATGATTTTGATATTGTAAAATGACATGTGCAACCAATGGTAATATAAAATAACATGACTTTTTAAATATATAATGACATGTGTCAACATTTGGAAGTACCAACACTTCCCAATGGCCAACTCAAAGTAAAAGACACTGTCAAAGCACAAAACAGACCCATGAATGGCCTTTTTTTTTTTTAAACTTTATTTGGACCAATGGATTTTTTTTGTTTTGTTTTGGGTCCGGTCATGGGGCCTGAACTCTGGGCCTGAGCGCTGTCCCTCAGCTCTTCAGCTCAAGGCTAGCAACTCTACCACTTGAGCCACAGCGCCACTTCTGGCTTTTTTCTTTTGGCTTATGTGGTACTGAAGAATCGAACCCAGGGCCTCAGGCATGCAAGGCAAGTGCTCTACCACTGGGCCACCTTCCCAGCCCAGGACCAATGGATTTTAATGCAATTTAGTACAAAAAGTTTTTTAAAGTGTGGATTCCACAAAGAAACTGACCTTAAAGAAACTGCCACTTGTTATGTGAGGTTGCATGTAGTTCTGTGTTCTATATTCACAAAGCCCTGAGTTCAACCACCAGCATAATAAATATTCAACAAAACAAAACATATTACTTGAGGTTTGGTAATAGTATCAAAGACAAATACCCTCAATCATCTCCAAGAGCTATAAAAAACTCCCCTAGCCAGGCACCAGCAGCTCATACCTGTAATCTCAGGAGGCTGAGATCTGAAGGATCACAGTTGAAGCCAGCTTGGGCAGGAAAGTCTGTGAGACGCTGATCTGCAATTAACCATTAAAAAGCCTGAGGTAGAGTGGTGGCTCAGGTAGTATAGCACCAACCTTGAGCAAAAAGCTAAGAGAGTGCCAAGGGTCAGAGTTCAAGCCCCAGTAACGGCATAACAACAACAACAACAACAACAACAACAAAACTCCACAAGTCTTCCCTTTCTAAACCACTTATCAGGGTGAAACCACATTTTCTACCTATGTTCCAAAAAAAAATACATAAGAGACTGAATATGGAAGGCAGTGTAAGAATTCAGTTACCATTTATTAGACTAGTCAAAAGACATTAGCAAAAATATCAAATGCTACTTCTCTCAATAATTCTGGGAAATAGGACCTACTTTTTCATTAAAATATTATTTATTCATTCATTTTGGTGGTACCTGGAGACTGAACTCAGGGCCTCATGTACACTAGGCAAGAACTCTACCAATTGGACAATTTCCCCAGTCCCACAATTTCATTATTAACATGTAATGGGTTTATTATATTAAAGAAATTAATAAATTAGTAATTTTTTCTCAAGTGTTAACTTTGAATCTCTTGAGATCCTCAAGTTTTTTTCCCCACATTTTTATTATCATCAATTAGTTGTATACTCAGTATGTTCATTTTTCATTGTTGTTTTGTTATTTTGGTCATTTGTGGGTTTTGAACTCAGGGCCTGGGTACTGTTCCTGAGCTCTTTTGCTCAAGGCCAGCATTCTACTACTTTGAGCCACAGTTACACTTTCATTTTTCTGGTGGTTAAATGGAGATAAGAGTTTCATAGATGGGGCTGGGAATGTGGCTTAGTGGTAGAGTGCTTGCCTTGCATGCATGAAGCCCTGGGTTCGATTCCTCAGCACTACATAAACAGAAAAAGCCGGAAGTGGTGCTGTGGCTCAAGTGGTAGAGTGCTAGCTTTGAGCAAAAAGAAGCTCAAGGACAGTGCCCAGGCCCTGAGTTCAAAGCCACAGGACTGGCAAAAAAAAAAAAGTCTCCTAGACTTTCCTGCCTGAGCTGGCTTTGAACTGCCATCCTCAGATCTCAGCCTCCTGAGAAGCTAGGATTATAGGCGTGAGCCACCAGCGCCCAGCCACTCAGTAAGGAGGCATGGCTCAAGTAGGAGAGTGCCAACTACGCCTGAAAAAAGCTAAGTGAGAATGCCAGTGAGTGCACAAGGCTCTGAGTTCAAGGTGTCTTGAGGGAAACAAGGGAGACTGGCTGTTTCACAGTCTTCTAAAGCTGAGCTCAAAACCAACCATGTGTCTTCCCAAACCAGTGTGAGATGTGGTGAGACCTGGTTTCTTTAGGGACAAGCTAGCCCCAGGGAATAACTTGCTTGTCTAAGCTCATACCCTCTTCACACTTCATGCTCAGAGCACCCACTTCTCTCTAATGTCTAAAACCCTGCCTGTCTTCTCTCCTACGCTCCTCAGCCCTAGACTAGCCTGAGACATTAGTCACTGCACCCCACCCACAGGAAGGACCTTAGTGAGGATGCCTGAACTGGAGAAGAACACAGAAAAACATGACAAAGCAACACAGCCTCACCTGTGCCATACAAGTACAACAACTAGCTAGATCTGCAACCTGTGCTCAGGGATGAACTGGACCTGGTCCAGGATGGATACAATGGCTGCCACTGTGCTCTGCAGAGCACATGAAGGCCAGCCAGACCAGTGCAGCTCTCCTTGCTTGGGGACTCCAGCCCAGCCCTGCAGGGGACCTCAGAAGCCTCTACTCCCTTTCTTCCTCTCTGCCCTAGACCTTCCTGACCCCCAAGACCAACAGACAGGTGGGCATACCACCATGTATGGCAACAGGAAAACCCACAGGGCGTGGAAGGCAGAGAAAGGGAAATGAAGCCCATAAACAGCTCCTGAATCCACTAAACTTCAGAGATTAAAATGAACAGGAGGCCATGTTTCCCCTGACCCCCAGCAGGGACCCACCAAAACCCAGCCTCCCAAGTCTCCAGAACAATGAACCTCAAACTCCCCGGAGCGCTCCTTCTGAGAGCTTGTAAAACCTGTCCAGCATCCTGAGAACAGGGAAGCCCACAGCATTGTTCCAATGCTGCTGAGGAGATGGAAGACACAAGTTTATCAAGCCTCACAAGCACCAACAGAGCACAGACTCAGGGGACAGAGACGGAATGGGCCTCTCACTACCATTTCCCAAGTGCCTGTGTTACATGGCACTCACAAATATCTATTCTGCTGGACACTGGTGGCTCACGCCTGTAATACTAGCTACTCAGGAGGCTGAGATCTGAAGATCTTGGTTTAAAGCCAGAGACCAGAAAACTGGAAGAGGCACTGTGGCTCAAAGTGGTAGAGCACTAGCCTTGAGTAGAAGAGCTCAGGGACGATGCTTAGGCCTGAGTTTAAGCTCCATGACCAACAACAACAAAAAATTTATTCTACCAGACACAGGTGGCTCACGCCTGAAATTCTAACTACTCAGGATGCTAAGCTCTGAGGGTGGTGGTTCAAAGCCAGATGGGGCATCAAAGTGCATGAGATACTTATCTCTAATTACTACCAGAAAATCCAGAAGTCCAGCTGTGGTTCGTGTGGTAGAGCACTAACCTTCAACATAAAAACTCAGGGATAGCACCTAAGCCCGAGTTCAAGCTCCAGGACCAATTTACAAAAAGAAAAGAAAAGAAAACAAACTCCATAAGAGAAAGAGAATAACGGGCACTGTCTTAGTGGGTAAGCATCCTATTTACCCCTCCAGGCAGGAAGAAAGTATATTTATTCACTCAACAAACATTTACTCAGGTGTCTCTTCTGTGCCAGGCAGTGTCTTAGACACAACAGGAAACAAAGACCTTGTTTTTGTGGAGCTTATTTTTTAGAAGTTTCAAGAGTTAAAAAAAAAAAAAATCTCCATGCTCCTGAAAAACCATAGAGACTGGCTACTTTCAATGAGTGTCTGTTACATCAGGCATCTGAGATCCAGGATTGAGACCTAGCCAATTACTTCCTCATCAAGTGGGATCCAAGTCTGGATCCTTGGGCTGTGAGAGTTAGGGAAATAGGATTACCTCTACAGTGAGTGTGTCTTCATCTGTTGGTGAGTAGAAGCCACTGAGTGAGTACCACGAGCATGCCCCAAACGCCACGCAGCACTGCAGGAGATAAAGAAACCCACAGTGTAAGCTGAGAGGCTCTGGAAGAGCGGCTCCCGGCTCAGAGCTCTTTGGAGACAGCCAGCTCCTCCATGCTCCCTTGCCCCCATCCTGAGAGCTTGTGATTCCGAGCCTGAGTCAGCAAATCATTTCCCAATCCTGGAAGTTATCTGTGTACTTCCAAACAAGCAGACACTGGCTTGGCTGAGTTTACCAGGGTGGAGCAGAAGGAGCTGGCAAGGTAAGAACGAGGTAGTGCTCAACATCCCAACATGGGTGGCAACTTATAAATGGAAGCACCTTGAGTCATGCCTGACTCCTTCGTGAAGCCCCACAGACAGGTCGGAGTCATAGCCAGTCACCAGCCAGGGGAGGGCCGGGAACTACCTGCCAAGGAAGACCCACATGTCTGAAACCTGAGTCCAGGGCCACTTTCTCCCTTCAGGCCTGAGCCAAGTACTTAGCTCTTCTCTGCCACTCTGGAATCCAGCTGCTCCATGCCACTCCCGCTGGCTCCAAAGGCAAGAAAAACATTCAAAGACACCAAACCATCTCCAAGAAACAGCCACTGGGTAATCTGGGACATGGCAAAGACAGGGGCACTGGGCACAGGGGCCTGGCAGGGCAGAGTCATGGGTAGAGGAAGAGAAAATGTTTCTGCTGTGGGCCGTGTTGGACAGTGGGATTCGCTCCTGGGGTTTCTACCACAGTCCCACTTCCCAGGCTCTGGGGAGTGGCCAGGGAGGTGGGCCTCAGTGACAGGATATAGCCGAGGCTACAGGAGCCACGCCACAGAGACAGCTGCACTGTCCCAGGACATGCCAGCATTCTGAGGACAACTTGCACAACTGCCAGGCAGCTGAGATGTCTCCAGAGAAGGCCAGTGCCCCCACTGCCTGTCCTCTTACCAGGTGTTCAGGGAAGGCGCAAAAGGGATCAGGTAGGGGTGGAGGGCTGAGAGAGGGCTGTCTTCCTGAGTGGGATGAAGTACACACAAACAAGCAGCAGAGAAGCGGGAAAGGGAAGGTGGACAAACAGAAGGGCAGGCAGTGGACACCGCCAGAGGTCTGCCTACCCACCCTTGGCAGGGGCAAACTGACCCAAGCACTGAAATAGTTACTGTTGAAATGTTGATGACCCACTCAGGAGCGCATGGAGTGGACAAATTACAAGAAGCCAGGGCTGCTGGGGCCCAGCAAAGGCCCTGTCCTGATGCCTCTTACCTGGAGCTGCAGCAGAGCTCCGCTGCTGAGAGCAAACGCAGGGGAGGAACAAACTGCTCAACAGGCAAGTTCCCTTTTGGAGAGCCAGAGACGGGACCAAATTCCTGCCCACCTCTTACCTTCAGCCTCTTCTGATGACACGTTAAAACCCTGGAGGGATGTTTCCACAGGAAGAAAGGATGCCCCAGAGTCTACTCTACCACAATCTCCCCAAGGGCTGCAGGAGGAGTCTAGGGGTCAGTGGAGAGAAGGGGACTGGCCCAAAATTAGCCACCCACAATCCTGCAGCTTTCATGGCCAAGGGTCAGTGCACAAGATTACAGAACTATGAGGTCTGGTTGGGCTGGTTCAGTTGGCTCTTTGCCATTGCCTGTTCTGTGGCCAATTCTGTGTCCAATTTTGGCTCAAAGACAGGGAGTGCGATCCTCAAAAGAGGAGACCTAGAAACCTGGAGCCAGTGAAACAACAGGGCGTCATTTCTAAACAGGAGAGCGGGTCATGCATTCAGAATCCTCCAAGCTCAGGTGGGACACAAATAGAGGACCCTTGATTTCCTGAGGATTTCTCCAAGGGGCCGAGGCCAAATAACGGAGCTGAAACTAAATAATAAAGGCATTAAAAGAGCTCCAACTGCAGGCAGGTGCAAAGGACCTTCTCCAGGTTAAGCATTCAGTCCCAGCACTGAGGTGGTTGATGGGCTCCCCTCCAGCCCAAGATGACTGCAAAGAGACAACTCAGATTCTTGGTAACCCCACAACCTGCCCAGGCAGATATCAACCTGACACCTCAGACCACACCAGAGCTCAGGGAATGGGGTGCCAGCCTTCCTCTTGGATTCACAGGAATTTAAACTCCCAAAGGGGGAAAAAGGGGAGGGAGGGAGGAAGATAAACGACTGCAAGACAGCCTGTTCAGAAACTGACCCCAGAGGTCCACTCAGGCTGATGGCTAGACACACCAGAGCAGATCAGAAATTAGTGCAAGCCACAGATAGATAATAAAAGGGACTGACAGCCCTAGGACTAGCAGGCAAGCAATGTATTTCAAAAAACTCCAACAGGAAAAAAAGTGTTCTGGAAACTAGTACAGAGGAAGAAGGCTGAGGACCACGGCATTCTCTGGGGACACAGCTTCTAGACACTTCTGGATGGGGTGGTATGTGGAAGGTACCAATGAGGGCAGAGACAGGGTGGGGTATTAAGGTTTAAATGTATTCTACATATCCCTAGTGAAAAGACACAGAATCCTGTTTCCTGGAAGGGGAACAGAGTTGGATGAGAACTCTGGCTACCCTTGGCACACACCCAACTCAGCGCGGTCTCTCCCCAAGGGTTCCTGGAAGTCGCCAGAGTCATAAAGAGGAAGTATTAAAGCTGCTATGAGGAGCACAGCCTACAAATTGGACAGAGCCCCATTCCAACAACCCAGGAAATTCTCCCACAGACATACTTGCGCTCTTCTATTCATCTCAGACATTCAGCCCTGTAAGTCAATGGGGACTCCACATCCCCACCCACCCACCCACCCACCCAGCCAGCCAGCCAAGAGAAAGGAAAGTAATGCCTGTGGCCCCCTCACTTCTCCTTGGAGCAGAGGCGGGGGCCCTAGGGTGGTGACTAGAATGTAGGGGACAACGCTTACTGGATGGAAATCGGACAGAAGAGCAAAACTAGGGCCTGCGGAAGTGGCCAGGCTAAGTAAGAAGAGACTTCACGTACAGGGGCAGGGATGCAGGCGCAGGGCTGGAAAAGCCTCAGCACCCTGAAGAAGAGGTCGGAGAGCTGTAACGCAGGGAGGAGGGATCAGGCAAGTCGAGAAGCAGGGGACAGGGATGGGAAGCGGGGAGCAGACGAGGGCGAGGAAGGCAAGGATGGGCGGACGGAGGCAGGCAGGAGACAAGGGTAACAAGGAGACAGAGACCTCCAAGGAGAGCCTGGGGGAGAGGGCGAGAGCTCTGGGGACACCCGACGAAAGAAGAGGTCAGGAGAGTGCGACAGGAGGCGGAGCCACGAGGCCCACGAGGGGGCACAGAGTTGGGTGATGGGGTCAGTGTGGGGGGGTGGCGATTCGGGCTCCACAGCCACGGGGGTCCGAGGGCTGGGGCCACAAGGGCAGCGAGGCGGGGCGTCACCAGGGTCAAGGACAGGCGCGAGGCGGCCCCGGTCAGGGCGCTGGGAAGTGTCGGCGGCAGCGCCGTCCGCGGACCCG